TATATATATATGAAAAAGGATTGAAAATGATCCTAAAAGAAAAAAAAGAAAAAGAAAAGGAAAGTTAGAAGAAATGAAATGTGAGGAGAAGCTTGAGGAGAAGTCTGATAAAAAAAAAAGAAAAAGAAAAGAAAAAGAAAAGATCCTAAAAGAAAAAAAAGAAAAAGAAAAGGAAAATTAGAAGAAATGAAATGTGAGGAGAAGTCTGATAAAAAAATAGTTTCACTTAAACTTTCTTATGTAATCTTAAGCTTAAATGTTTACTACTATAGTGTTTGAAATTTAGTCTTTAATATTTTTTAGGAATCCCAAGTTTTACAAATTGCAATTTGATTTTGAAGTAAATAAACAATTTGAATTCCTAGGTTGAATATAAGATATTCATATACCTTAGTCCTAGACCTATTTACTAAAATTTCCCCTAGATTACACAGTGACATTCTTAAAGCAAAATTGTAGGAAATCCTGAAGAAACACATTACCTTAAACAAGCAATTAAGTTTTTTAAATTGTAGTACTACTTGAGGACAGATAATATTTAAGTTTACGGGATTTTTGATGTCATGTAGCATGCTAATTTTCCTTTTATAGTTAATATTTATTTTTGATGATATTACATTTTAAAAGAGATTATTTCTATGTTTTTGTTATAAGTATAATAGGTAAAGAAAATGGAGCAAATTGGAGCAAAAACATAGCGAAACGGAGGCGAAGGGAGTAATGGAGCTAAGCATGAAATGGCTCCTAGGTGCCAGCTTCTGTCTCCATGAAGCCATATATGGGTGCTTAGGCATTGGACTCTGCCAAATCTGAAAAGATGGCGCCCTGGCGCCACAAACTGGCGCCTAAGCGCCGGTGTTTTTCCAAGCTGACTCAAGCAAGTGGCACCTAGGCGCCACAGATTGGCGCAAAAAGTGTTTTAGAAGTTTTTTTCAGCAGTTGTGCACGAACTTGGAGTTATTTTTCTAGGGAGAATCACTTGGGGGAAAGAAGAGAACATTTGGGAAGCCGAGAGAAAGCCAAGGAGTGCTAAGTTTTTTTCAGCAGTTGTGCACGAACTTGGAGTTACTTTTCTAGGGAGAATCACTTGGGGGAAAGAGGAGAACATTTGGGAAGTCGAGAGAAAGCCAAGGAGTGCTGGTAAGGAGAGGAGATCTACGTTTTCATTTATCTTTTCTCTAGTTTCTTTGAGAAACCTGAGTCAATTTGTAAGGTGATTGTTGTTGTAGTGCAAGGAGGTCCTGGAGATCCTCTAGGGTGGAGTTTCCATTTTATTCTCAATGAGGAAGATAAGTATTTTTTTACACATTATCTTGTATTAAGTAATTTCGTTTTGCATGACTTTGATTTATTATAAGATGATGTATTCTTATGTTTTCTTTATGTACTCTAAGTAAACCCTTATTCCATCCTCTTATGATGAAATAGTAACATGTGTAGGATGTGGATTTGATTAGAATGAATTTCATTTCATGTTTGTGAAGGTTTTTACTTCAAGCTTCAATTACATTTCAATCTGGCCAATTGTTGTGTTAAATTTTGTTGTAATTTCATTAAGATCTGGGAGGGCGGTGGAGTTAACACTGAGTAAGAACCCCATTGATCTATAGGGTGAAAGAAAAATAATTTGTAGATTAGTGCAAAAAAATTGGGAGATAAATTTAATGGGGGTAACTAGGAGATTTCTAAGGTGACAGGAAGAACACTTCCATAGTTAACCTAATTTATTTATGCACATAGAAAAGGGTAAAGAAAATAACTGCTCCTATTTGTCACAAAAATTCAACTAGAATTTCTAAGTGTTCTACACCTACACAAATTACTAATTTCATTGCAAGGGGAGAGTCTTTTTAATAGCTTGAACTCCCTTTCTTTATTTAACTTTAGTTTAATCAGCTTTATAGTAAATTTAGAGGAATAATGATAGTTTGGTAGAATTCCCTAGATCACACTAAAATCGAACTTATTTCCTAGCTAAGACTACTTAAATTTAGTTGGAACTTTTCTTAACTCTTTTAAATTAACAGTCTTCCCAGTGGGATCGATACTACGAGTTTAAATAAAATCCAATATTACTTGAATGGTACGTGCACTTGCGTAAAATACTAAGTGTATAGTACTTAATCATGGTAAATCTCTAGTTATAAGATTTATATAATATATTTTAAAATAATAATATTTCATCCCTAAACCACTAGGTATACCAAAGGTAGGTCAGTTGCCAACCCTTAGTCTTTGATGACAAACTTCTTGAACATCCCTTGGATGACTGTGGATAATATGGAACAAGATATTCCCTTCAATATATCAGTTCTGCAAGAGGAATGTTTATTGCATCCAAACAACTTTCCTATAAAGGTTGAATCTGATGCTTTTTTGCCTTGCATCCAATCGATAGTTCATACTTGGATCACCCGATCATCTTTTTGTTCGCCTTGTGACTCGGTCGGTT